ATCTGAAATCTGGAACATGCTACATCTGTGATTTATAGGCAGCTGTTCACAGGAGCGGCGAGATTAGACCATAAAACCACAATGAAAAAGAAGTTGTCAAATAAGAGAGAGAGAGAGAGAGAGAGAAAGAGACCGAGACCCAAACAGAAAGTAAAAACATATTATATAGTTAGACCAAATCTTCAGATACATAATTTGCATCCATTGTGTAAATCCTATGGAAGCCAAACACCTGAGGATTTATGAGATTAGAACTTCCGTGATGTCAAGAAAACCAGCTGTGAAATGTTTGATTGTTGAAGAATTTTAGGCGATGCGATGGCTCAGCAGATAAAGACAAACCAGGTTCAAGAGCTGAGCACTGTGTGATGGAGTAAGTGCTCATTACTTGCCTCTGCTCCAGCCAAATGGGCATTCGAAGGCATGCAAATGTGAGTAAATAAATAGGTACCACTTTGGTGGGAAGGTAGCAGCATTCTGTGCACCTTGGCTATAAGTCACGCTGGCTTCATGACCACAGAAGCATCTTGGGACAACAATGGATCCCTTGGCTAGGAAATAGAGATGAGAGTCAGACATGACTGGACAGGGGAAATCTTGACTTTTCCTATAGGATAGGATGGGATGGGATGGGATGGGATGGGATGGGATGGGATGGGATAGGGTAGATGTCAGCAACCTGCAGCTCTGGAGCCGCATGTGGCTCTTTCATCCCTCTGCTGTGGCTCCCTGTCGCTGGTCGGCTCCACATTGATAGGGCTTTTGGTTAGGACAGGTAGAGAAAAAAGGATGCCGTGCTAAGAGGGGACTCTATGGTGGGGGAACCAGACCTCCGGTCAGCTCCAGAATTAAACAGGGGGCTTCCGGTTAGGACCTTTGTGGCTCTTTGAGTGTTTAAGGTTGCCGACCCCTGGGATAGAAACTCAAGATAGAAAATTGATCCCAAAGTCGAATTCACATTAATCCCTATTAATGTGAGTTGGACTTTGGGATCAGTTTTCTATCTTGAGCCAGGAAAAGTTTGTTTAAATCTGAGAGTTGTCTGGATATAGCAATTTGCTTGCAAACCATGATTTAACAGAATAACAGAGTTTGAAGGGACCTTGGAGGCCTTCTAGTCCAACCTCCTGCTCAAGCTGGAAACTCTATAACATTTCAGACAAGTGGTTGTCCAATCTCTGGGAGAGGGGGGAAATATCCACTGATATTTCTAACTGTGCCTAACTTTTCTTGAGATCAAAAGTTGGCTAGGTGATGCCAGGTGTGGTGACCCTTCCTACTGTTGCAATGTTATTTCTTCTCTCCTCCTATTTCCTTGCTATACTTTGCTCCCTAAAGTGCACTTGGAGGACATTTTGTAGACTGAGAACATTTGTGGTTTGAGAGAAAGGATGGTGTGGACAGATTAATTTACTTCCTCATCTATTTGTGCAGGATAGAAAACAAAATTCCAGAAATGCCTCAGTCCTGCTTTCTAAACCCTGCTCCTGAAAGGATTAGAAGTGGTTTGGATAAAATGGAATAGAATAGAATAGAATAGAGAATAAAGAGTAGAATAGAGTAGAGAAAAGTAAAGTAGAGTAGAGCAGAGTAGAGTAAGGAATAGAATAGAATAGAGTAGAATAGAGTAGAATAAGAAATAGAGTAGAGTAGAGTAGAGTAGAGTAGAGTAGAATAAGGAATAGAATAGAATAGAACAGAACACAGGAAAGGAAAGGAATGGAATGGAATAGAACAAAATGGAATGGAATAGAATAGAATAGAATAGAATAGAATAGAATAGAATAGAATAAGGAATAGAGTAGAGTAGAGTAGAAGAAAGAATAGAGTATAGAATAAGGAATAGAATAGAACAGAACAGAACACAGGACAGGAATGGAATGGAATGGAATGCAATAGAATAGAATAGAATAGAATAGAATAAGGAATAGAATAGAATAGAATAGAATAGAACAACAGAAAACAGGAAAGGAAAAGAAAGGAAAGGAATGGAATAGAATAGAATAAGGAGTAGAGTAGAGTAGAGTAGAGTAGAGTAGAGTAGAGTAGAGTAGAGTAGAGTAGAGTAGAATAAGGAATAGAATAGAACAGAACAGAACAGAACACAGGA